TTCCTTTTCTCCTAGAAAATCCATTTTTCTCGTAATAGGCTTCTAAAGATTAGGATCTATAGCTAACTCTCAAGTGTCATTCTTCTCGATAGCTTTGATCTCCTTCTTCATGTTTTTCTTCCATTTATCATCTTGAAAGGCATCATTGAAACCAATAACCATATGATCAGCAAATAGATAGAATAAAGTTAATTCCTTAAGATGTTGAGATAAATTTTAGGTATCATTATAAAGCTCTCAAAGACTGCTTAAACAAAGTTGCATTTCCCTTGAGGATGATGAAGATATATCTTGACCAAGTCTTGGTGGTGGAGTTAGTTGAGTTAAAATCGTATCAACTTGTTCTTCATCATCATCAAAGGGAAAGAAAATACAATTTTCTTCTTGTTCATTTTACCAATTTCAAAATCCTTCTTTATCAAACTCAACATCTCTACTAGTGATCACCTTCTTATTCATTGGATTACAGAGCTTGTAGCCTGTTGATCTTAAATCGTAGCCAATAAGAATATTTTTCACTCTTTTTATCTAGTTTGCTCCTTTTCCTTTTGAAACATGAGAAAGAGAACCATGCTCCAGAAAAGTCGAAGATGTAATATACTTGGATTGAATCCACTCCATATTTCTAAAAGAGTCATATCTTGCACACTTTCGGTTGGACGGGAATTTAGCAAATACATAGCACACTAAACAAGTTCAAAACTCCTTTTGCGTCTGCTTAATTTTCAACGTACTTTGATTTATTCTTCTGCTCTTCTATGCCATTTTTAAGATGTAAGAATAGTCAAAGAATAATGAATACCATGATCTTCACAAAATTGTTTGAATGTGTTGCTAATGTATTCGCCACCTGAGCATAATGCTTTGATCTTTTGACCATTTTGATTTTCCACTACAACCTTGAAATTCTTGAAAGCCTCAAATGCTTTGAACTTTTCTCTAAATAAATTCACATATTTTGTTAATAAAGTAATCGACAAATAATATGAAGTAATTATTTTTACCAAATGATGAAAGTTTGGTTGGTCCACGAAGATCCCATACACTAATTAAAGTAGCCTTGATGATAGAAAATTTGTTTCTTTAAGGAAAGTCTTCTAGGATTGCTTTCCACAAAGACATGATTCACAAAGTTGATTTAGATGATGGATATTTCTATTCACTAAAAGGTTCAAAACGTTAAAATTTAAATGGTCAAGTCTCAAATGGCATATCCAGGTTGAACCTATAGCAAATGCCTTCAAATGCTTCACTTTTCTACTTTGATTATGCAACAAGAACATCATGTTCTTCATCAATGGAACTCTAGTAATCAAGTTTTCCATTACAATCTCCTATTGTCATTGTTGATTCTTCATTAGGATGACATATCCTTTCTCCAAAAGTTGGCCTAAGCACAAAACATTTGTTTTGTAGAAGAAATTAATAAAATTGAAAATGTATTTATGTTATTCATTCTTCATTTGGATGAGACTTTAAATTTCACCATTGACTTGCACATTTATATCATCTATAAATGTAACATGGCTATGTAGTTCTTCAAGTTCCATGAAAATAGATTTATTTCCACTCATGTGCTCACTTGTTCTGGTATCAAATAGGTGCTAATTGTTGTTGCTTGAACTCTGCTATCAGTAAAATAGATACCAATCTTGTCTTTCTCGATTTTTTGTTCCTTGCCTTTTATAATTGTAGAAGATGGTTTCATTGTGAAAATGATTTCATACTTAATCTTTTTGATTTGGTTAAAGTCATTTCTTATGCAATTCTTTATCTCATGGTATAGTCGACTCTTGTTGAATATCGACACTTTTACCAAATTCCATCCTACAAATATAAACATATTCTATTACCTAAAGTAACAATGAATTACACCAATAACAAAAACACATATTTTTAAATATCAATGCTAAAATCTTCACAAGCTACATGGTTATGTTGAAAATATGAACTTCATTTATTTAGTCGAATTCATTAATCTATTTTAGGATTATTCATACATACATTAATGCAATAGTTTATTTATGTACTTGAATAATACATGAATTATTTTGGGATTAATTTGTATTTAATAACTAGTAAATTAGATTAAATTCATGTTTTGTGAAATCTATGAAATGTTAGTGATTGTACTACTTTTCTTTAGTCATGTTGAAGTGTTAAGAAATAAAGTTGACTGTTCTCTTAATATTATTTATCCACGTCCAAAAATTGTTGTTTCATCTCCAAGTTTTCAATAAAAGTAGTATTAGAGAAAAATGTTGTAAGAGTGTGAAAATTAGAGATTGTAAACAATAATTCTCTTTCTATTTCTCGACTCACTAATGATAACTATAGTATGTGGGGGACTTGAAGGAGATAGGTTTTGAACCTGAAAATGAAGAAGGCATGTCTCAAGCATAAATAGACTTGCACCAAACAACTAAAAAGAGAATAATGACGTCTATCGATGAAGGAATCTGAATCAATTTCAAATCAAATCTTCATGAGTATTGGTGGTTATCAATGAGATATATGACGAAAAAATAAGTATCTTCAAGTGATCGAAAAAATTCATTGATCTTTACATGAAAATATTCAAATTTATTGTGGTGGCAATCGTATAATCAAAAGACATGGAAGAAATGACTATTGATTAACTCATTGGCACACTTTAGGCTCACAAGGAAAAGTTGCTGAAAAAGAAGAAAGAATCACTAAAACAAGTCTTTCTTTGAAAAGTGTGGAAGAGAAGAACAATAGGAACCAAAGAGGTAGAGGTTGTGGAAAGGACATAGAAATTGCCAACATTTATTCAATAATGAAAAGAACTATCAACACTTGTACAATTCAATAGAGCGATGAAGATATAATTCTTAAAGAGGATGAAGAAGAAAAAAAATAGTAGGAGATATGATGAATCTCAAATTGATTGTTACAATTATTTCAAAAAGATAAGTTTAAGTACAAGAAATGACTTTAACCAGATCAAAAGGACAAGTTTAAGTATGAAATCATTTTCACGATGAAACCATCTTCTACAATTATAAAAGGCAAGGAACAAAAAATCGATAAAGACAAGATTCGTACCTATTTGGTTTAGTTAGAAAAGTTTATAAGAATCTAAATTAAAATTAAAAATTAATTTTAACAACACAATTTATAGATTCATAATTTTTATCAACTTTTAAATCACATATATCATCAACTTTTATCATTATCTACTGAAGGTACGATGTTTAACAACCAAAAAAGGGCTTAGTCTTATCATCAAAACGCAGCAAAGGCTTGGTGGGATCAAAGCACGGTCGAGCTTGGTGAATGCTGTACTTGAAAGGAAATTATGGGAAATATAAGGGAAAAAATGAAATGGGCTTATTTGCATAAATAACTCCCAATCTATGGGAATTCTATGGAAACAGGACATATCCTTCAATCTTATCATCCTCATGTGAATCTTGCGTAAATTATCTCTGGTGCACCAAAAGGTTCATATGATGACATCGTGCCAAGATTAAAAATATCTTGTTTTTACTGAGCTTTCATAGCTCGGGGACCATTGGTATGCGATTAAATTTTAAATTTCTCAACCAAAATTTTTTATGCAATGCAAATTCTATGTATTACATGAATGGCCATACATAAATTTGGAGAAGTATTGTTATTGACCATATGTGATTGGGACATGTGTGCACACTCGTGGCATTAATTAGACAAAG